CAAGTTTAAGGATTTTGTGAAATTAACCCTTTTCTATATTTTCTTTAACCTTTCTTATGAGAAAAGAGGATAAATAATATTTAATTAAAGAGGGGCTTGTATTGGTTGGGGATAGAGGGACTTGAACCCTTACTAGTTTAAATTCAACGGATTTTCCTTTAACTACGAAACTATTTTGCTCCCGTCGCATGCAAACAGACACAGACAAGTCACACTGTAAATTCATGCAGAGTATCACATTCCCAAGTAGTCCATTTGGATAGGAATGGAGTTACAATCATCACGGGAAGAGAATATTCTAGATGTGATCTACTACGCATGAACTAGTAAGAAATAAATATTTAAATGATTTCGACGTGTTTTGAATTTATCACGAGGCAAAAATTAACCAACTTCAGGAAAATTCTGAAACGTTGATTTTGACGACAAATTTTGCATGGGTTAATGATGATGAAATCCTTTGGAATTTCGTTTCGAACTAGTGCATGTGTAGTAGATTACATCTACCATTTTGAATTTTTACTTTTCAGTTCCAATTTTCAAAATTAGGTTGATAGTATCTGCATGTTGGATAGTATTAATAATAGTCTATGTCAACTCTATGTGTGTGTGTGTATATGTGTGTGTGTATGTGTATGTTATTGCTATTTTAGTGGTAAAAAGTAATCTCCAATCAATAGCAGATGAGTGTCCCACATTATGCGTAATCGAGTCAGCTCTTCACTTCAAGATAACCAAAGACCGAGCTCGGACGAATCGACACGCCGACATCTCGCGAGGACGACTGAAAAGGCGTTACATGTCGACCCCTGACTAGGTCGACTTCTTGACCAACCTACTTGACCGACCATTCGGCCGACATCTCACGAGGGTGACACAAAAGGTGGCACTTCTCGACCATCTATCGAACAAGTAAAAAGGCAACGACTACCTCGAGACTCAAGCCCCCTCCCGTGCACTAACAGTCAATCACCTTACAATAAATGTCATTAAATGCATGATCTACATCATCATTTCTATGTCCTCAATAGTCTTTATGACACATCAGACCATGTCAGCACCGTACTCCCCCAGTCACTTCACATTAAAGGCGAAAGTGACCTCCCCTCCACTCGTTGGCCGACACCTATAAAGTAGATGTTGATTTGGCCGCCAGCCCATACTCAGTCAAAGTTATCATCCTATACCCCTCTACTACCACAATAAAGATGATTACTATTTTCAGTATAAAGGTAAGATCTTTATCTCTACCCACAGTACTCTAGAACTTTTACAAATTAGTTACTTCTCCACTCAAGCAAATTACTGAATTGATCGTCGGAGGAACAACCGGAGAACCCAACTCCGCCCTCTTATGATTTTCTACCAGTGCATGGAAGAATAATCCACCTCAGAATCAGTCATTCAGAGGGTTACAGGACCTCCGTCAACCAGATCACTTCTCTCATTGATTGTTTGATATCAACCATATATATATATATATAATGTTTTCCTAAGGTGACACCTTAGATTCACACCTAAGGAAGCGGCTTAAAATCACATCATTCCCTAATTTTTTTGTGATCTGCTCCGTTAAACTTGATTTACACATTCTTAAACCCAAACACATCAATTTTGAGGTGAACCCGTCGTGTTTTCACCCTTCGTTGAGTCGTACAAAAAGTTCTATTCATTCAAAACCGTTAAAATTATGGTGAGTGGATGAAGGGTAAAAACACGACGGGTTCACCCCAAAATTGGTGTGTTTGCATCTAAGAACGTGTAGATCAAGTTTAATGGAGCGGATAGCAAAAAAAAGTTAGGGAATGATGTGATTTTAGACCGCGTCCTTAGGTGGGAATCTAAGGTGTCACCTTAGGAAAACATTTATATATATATATATATATATATATATATATATATAGATATATATGAGAAAAATGAGTATTAATAGAACTTTTTGCACGGGTCAACGAATGGTCAAAACACGACGGGTTCACCCAAAATTGATGTGTTTGGATATCTAAGAACGTAGATCAAGTTTAATGGAGCGGATAGCAAAAAAAAGTTAGGGAATGATGTGATTTTAGACCGCGTCCTTAGGTGGGAATATAAGGTGTCACCTTAGGAACAATCCCCTAGGATGCCACATGTCAATTTTTGAGAGAATTGGCCACATGTCCATTTTTCAAAGCTTTTGCCATTCATCTTCTAGGTGATCTATACAAATTCTAAAACTTTCAAATATTCATACAAATACCAAAACTTTCATATACTACCATCCATCAATTAAAACTTCCCAAATCTTATCTATTATACACAAATT